GAACCCTTTCAGGGACGGCACGCCGCTGGACACGCTGCGGCTGCAGCGATCTCGGAAAGGTAAGTTTATGTCATACATTCATCGCCTTGGAATTGAACTGTGAGAATAACAGTTTTAGCAAGGGTTTTCACTGACAGAGGGCTTCCTTCTAGGTCTGGGACAAAAAGTAAATTTTTAACAAGGATACTTTGCTTGTCCCTTGACCGTGTGGTGCTGTTCAAGAATCCTTGACCGTTACCTTTCGCAGTAATACTTTTCCTGTTTGCTAGGAAAACTTTGTCCTTTGCACTGAAATCAATTTATGTGAAGAAGGTCTCATCACCGGTCATGTGACTTGTTGCCCCCAAGTCAATACACTATCCACATGGTATACTGTTCTGAGTCATTTTAAAGGTAAAACTCCATGATGTGCCTGCAGTTTCCTTTGTGGCTGCCTTAGCTCTCTCTCTTGTAGGTGTGTTAAGCTTTATCTGCTTGGCTTTTTAGAATAAACAGTCCTTTTTCATCTGGCCAGTTTTTTTTTACAGCAAAAACATGCTCTGCTTTGTTCAGTGGCGGACCTAAGGAACAATGGGCCCTGTTGCAAGATTTTTTTGCCCCCCCCCAGCTCTTACAATGCCCGCACTGCCCACCGGAGAGCCCCACTAACCACCCGAAAACCTGCACTGGCCACCCGTGAGCCCCTCCTCAATTTCTTGCCCTATCCTGTCACAGGTGCCTGGTTCTACTGGGCCCCTTAGGCTTGGGCCCTGCCGCAGCGGCAGTTACGCCGAAGCATGCATTATTTTATGTATAAATCGTGTGACTGTTGCACTATATTTGCATATTGTTGTCACTTATACATGTTTTCTTTGCTATATGTTCTTTCAATGTCTTTGTTCCATGTTTTCTTCTTGTGCATCCTAATATCCTCCATACAGTATTCTTCGTTAGCCTGGTCACCCGTTGCTAGAGAACTTATGACGCTCTGTTAGCTTGCCAGCCTTTTTGCCTGGGTTATCGGATGATAGTCTGCTGCTTCTCCTGATGGGTACCCGTACATTTCAATCAGGGAGCCGCAACACGAACCTCTGCATGACAGACAATAGTTTTTTGCTGTCACCCGTTACCTGGCAACCCATGTTGTTTACTATAAGCCCTAGCCTCTGCACCTGGGACTTGAATTCAGTATGTCGCACTCCTGATCCACGCTACAGCGTTGCCATAACGGCGAATGACGCAAATTCTTTTTTTAGCTGTACCGATAGTCCTTTTACGTACGACGGTCAGCGGCCGGACAGACCGACAGTCGGCGCCCGGACCCTCCTCAGTTTCTTGCCCTATCCTGTCACAGGTGCCTGGGTCTACTGGGCCCCCCCAGGCTTGGGCCCTGGTGCAGCCACACCAGCGGTAGTTCCGCCCCTGGCTTTGTTTTACTTTGCGCTCTTATGCACCTTAAGGGCTTTCTCATTTTTTTCGTTGTGCATATTTTCTTTCCTTCTGTCATATCCATTGATTAATTTTCCTTTGGCGTATTCTAGTGTTAGTTCTTGTTCAGGTCTGGTTTCTAGATCGTTAATAAGAGCACTGTATGACTCTGGAAGGCTGCATAGCAGTAATACCATCACGTGGTTATCTTTAATTTCCTCTCCAATTGCACGTAGTTGTTCTATGATTTCCAGCATGGCATTCACATGTTCACACATTTCCTGGCCTTTTTCTAGCTTCATCTTATATACCGTACGTAGCAGATATAGTTTACTGTTTAGGTTTGAACGCTCATGCAGTTTTTGTAATGCAGTCCACATACCTTTAGCTGTATTTTCTTTTCTGATGTGGATGAGCTGGTCGTCTTCCTCTAGCAGACTTAAAATTACTTTTGCTTGCCTGTTCTTCTTGTCCCATTCCTCCATGGGTCCATTACCGGTCTGTCTATACTCAGTATCTGCCACAAGTCGTCTTTGCTTACCAGCATTTCAAGCTTGAACTTCCATACCTGGTAGTTGCTATTGTTGAGCTATGCGATTGCAAACTCTATATCTGAAGTGCTTGCCATCTTTCAGTAGCTTGGATGTGGCTCTTGTTGACGTGCAGTGTTCTGTTTAGTGCCTGGGCCCCATAACCTGTTGGTTATGTGTTTAGATGAAGCACTGAGCTCTTGAGGAATGCTAAATCAAGCTTTACTTGCTTAGGAGGACATTACATCAGAATACAGCATTATACAGCATTCAGAATTTCTATCACTCATTCAGAGACTAACATATCACTACAGCGCCATCTACAGCTCAAAAGACATAATTACACAAGTAATACAATCATATATATGCTGTTACATTTCCAACAGAGAGGACACAGAGGTGCAACTTTATGTTCAGACCAGGACAAGCATCACTGCCAAAGGGTATGATTACCTCCAAGGGCACTGCAGAGGCTTTGAGAAAAAACAACCACCAGCAAGTTGAGTAATATAACTACCTGAATAGGGAAGGCAGACCAACAACAAGAATGTTCAACATAAAACAGTATATGCTGTAAAAATGTATAGCATATAACGCGACTGCTTAAGATTTCCTGTGTCCCTCAATGAACAATAAATAAATAGTTTTGGGTATAGAAATACTTTAATGTTGTTATATGACATGAATTTGATAATGCTTACGGTCTTAGAGGAGCTCCTACCTTGTTTAGCAGACATTAGCTTTCTCAGGATAGAGGCAGTGGTACCAGAATCTCACCTTTTACACCTGTTGCTGTATTCACTGCAAAAGTACATCTGTCCACTGGCAGGATATTATGCTTGGATCCTTGCTAATGGCTCTACTTTCTCATGGGTTCAAGTTGGTGCTTTACTTAAAAGCTGAGGCTTTTAAGTAGAGTTGTACAGCTTAGTCACCTGATATATGGTTGTTGTGAATTAATCATTCTGTAGCTGTAATAAAATCCACCACAGGAACAGGGTGGAGGTGCCACACTGAAATTCAGTTTCTTGGATTCAATGTATTTCACAAACTGGGTAAGCTTTCTGCCTAAAACATTCTTTATCCACTGTTCTTATTGTTCTGGGTGTATCAACTTTTTCATCCTTGCAAATGTAAGGTTTCTGTCAAGTGTGTAACTGCAAATCATGGGACCCCATAGCAAAACTTTGGGGGCCCCCACTTAACTCTCTGTATTGGCTGGCAGTGTCAACTTTGACAATATGTGTCATTGATGTTATCATGAAGTATTTATCAAGGACAGGGTGCAGGAGCACTGTCAGCATAGTCAGTGCACTACTAGGAAGCAGAGCTGAGGATACACGTTATAGTAGCACTAATAATAATAACCATAATATTTTATATTATGATAAAATGATTAATGATCTTACACACACTTACTGTTCAACCTTAATACAAACCTCTTTAAACTCTAGATTCAATAAACTTTTTTGTAGAACTACAAACCTCAGCCTTCCTATAAGGTTTTAACAGAGGTTAAACTCTGGGATTTGTGACTGCATTAGGTATACATGGTTCATTTTAGTCTGTAGCAGAAGTTCAGAGGGCAATAAATCTACACTGCTAAGAGAGATAAGCAAATACTTCCAGCACAGAGGGGCATGTGTGACTAGACAATACTGAGGTCTGATTTCAGCCCTTCTATACTGAAAAGCTCACAGTTTAGTTTTCCTAATCAGCCTCTCTAATGGGGCCCCCTCCTACCCCAGGCCCCATGTCAGCCACCTGGGCTGCTATGGCTATTGTTACACCATCGGTTTCTGTAATGTTAATACATTTAGAAATATTTGAACTGTTATTAGTGGAAATCAGAAACAAAAAGAGAATCTAAAAACACATTTGATCAGGCACTTTGTAAGTGCACTAAGCCACATTTAACCTCTTGCCGTCCGCCCGTAGTAAAAAAACGGACGGACGGCACTGCAGCATCTGCGGGTTGCCGTCTCCAGACGGCAATTTTTTTCTGCTCGCGCGCGCCCCCTAGCGGGCACGCACGGGCAGAAAAGACCCGCTAAATGCACACACCCGTTACCGGGTGTTTCACATATGCGCGCACGCAATTTTAAGGCTTGACATGTTTAGTGTCTTTTTACCCGACGTGACCCCATCTTTTATATTTTACCAAAAAATTGGGTAATAATAAATGTTTTATCATTTAATATAGGGGAAACTGTTTTTTTTTAAAAAATTTCGGTAATTTTTCCTTAATATAGTAAAAAAATAAAACCCCCAGTGGTGAATAAATACCACCAAAAGAAAGCTCTATCTGTCCCCAAAAAAGGGTATAAAATTCATTTCAGTACAGCGCTGCATGACGGAATAAATGTCAGTTAAAGTACCGCAGCGCTGAATACTGAAAAATGGCCTGGATGGGAAGGGGGTTTAACACCGCGGATGTCAACTGGTTAAACAAGTATTTGCTGTTCTTAAAGCTGAACTCTAGACTAAACAAATATTGTGTTAATACAAGAGCCATATGTATTCTCAAAATTTCAGTGTCCCTTCTGAATTTCTTCCAGATCTGTGCAAAATACATTTCAATAATAAATACTTGTCACTGATCCTTCCCTTGTGCAGTGTAACTGGTCTTGTATTCACTCCCCTGTAGTTCTCTAAGGACAGCTTGCTTTCTGCACAGATTATGTACTATGCATAGTGATGATGTCACTGCTACATTTACAAGGTATTATCTTGGTTTACAAAGGCATTTTCCATGAAGTGGATTTATATATTCTTTGTGGCCACTGTTAAGCAAGGGATAGGTCGATGATTGCTTTTGATTTTGACGGGCTTATATGACTATTTGGCTGTCCATCTTGAACATCTTTAATATTATCCTGTCCCATACAATATCCTGACATTTTTATCTTCCAGTCTTAACTTAACCACTCACTGTTTCACCTAATTCTTTATTTACCTCTGGAATAATGAGAAATGTGGACCATATAGTTTGCACTAACTGTTTGAATAGCATCACTGCTGATGTGCATGCATAATACAACCTACAATGTTCTGTTGTTCCAGAGCTGCCTTCAGATTGTCATGCAATTTTTTTGAATGGAGAGAACAGCGGCATCTTCAAAATCCAACCAGCCAATGCTCAGCCCTTTGAAGTTTTCTGTGAAATTACAGATGGTGAGTCTAAAAGTTTAATTATATTAAAGCAAACCTGTGGCATCTTCCAACAAGAAAAAAGGCATACAAAAAGGCATTAAAACCACAAAATGGTCAATAATCAGCTGAAGTTGAAGTTGTATGCAAATTCATCATATGCTCAGTTTGATTTTGCCCAGGTTTGTGATCAGTTTATTTACCAAGGATGAAGCAGGTATTTAATAGGGCTGTTCAGTACATTCTACAAGGTGTCACTGATATAATCCAAAATCAGTTTAACTAGATGTGAATTTTGAAATAGGAACTTAGAACACCTTGGACTGCCTGAATAGGTAAAATATGGTACATTTATTTATTTGTAGTATGCCTGCAATAAATCTGCTCAACATCAGCAGTTTTGAAATTATAGATAAAAATAGGTATTCAAGTGTGGGTTTAAAAATTGCTGAAGTTGGTAGATAAAAGTCAGTGGAAGTTTGTCATAAGCAGAAAGTTACATCTACTTAAAAAAATTAAGCAAAACTGCATAATGAAACTTGATAGAACTTCCCTTTTTTTGGTAAACTTTCTATGGCTTGATATTTTTTCCTTTTTAACCCCTTCGTGACTGACGATGTACAGTGTACGTCGCCAGCATCGGGGCTGTTTAAACAGACCCCCGGCGACTTTTGCCGCCGGGACTCTGTTTAAACTTGTAGAGCTGACTGTCGGCTTTACAACAGAAGCGATTCTGGCGACTTACCTGTCGCCAGATCGCTTCTGTGTCCCGAAGAAGGGGCCACCCTTCTTCGGGACACAGCTTGTAAGCCCCCCCATGTGATAGCAGTCAAAGTAAAGTAGAAAAAAAAAAACAGTTTGTGTTTTGGGGCATTTAATTAAATTTATCACTAAATTTTGGGGTTTAATAAGGAGTTGCGCTAATATTGCGCAACATAAAAATCTGCAACTACCACCATTATATTGTATAGGGTCTTGGCATTCAGAAAATATATAATGTGTGGGGGGTTTTAAGTAATTTTCAGGCCTAAAATGTGGAATATAACATGGGTGCAAAAAAATAAAAAAAAAGGCCATGAAGGGGTTAAATAATTTTTGTCCAAACACCAATACTTTTTTTCATATGTAAAAAAGAAAAATAGTTGCAGCAGTATTTTTTAGTGATGCATTGAAATTGCAATTTCAAAACATATCGGCCAAAAATGGCACGTTGGGCAAAATGTTGACAGTGTGAGCATATTAATGAAGTCGATAGATTGCATGCAGGTGTACCTGGAGGTAGCCTACTCCTCCTAATAGGTTGCAGGGACGCACTAGGGGCCCAGCAACTAAAAATGCACGCTGGGACCCCAGTGCATCCCCCTAACCAAAAATAGTCAAACTAGAAAAAAGTGGTACATGCATGAATCCATAACTAGCCTTTATAGCAGGGAGCACAATGGGAAGGCTTACAACAATACAAAACACAAAAATTCCCCAGCCCCAACCTGCCAGCCAGCCTGCAACCAAACAAGTAGCCCTGTCAACAGTATGCGTTAAAATCAGAGGTTTTAGTTGCACAAACTTTTGGCCAAAAATATGTAGAAGCCACACTGCCGCGCCAAGGCACCTCTGCAAAGTGTGGTCCTAACTCTATGTATCTGAGTCTCCAAGTGTGAGCATATTAATGAAGTCGATAGATTGCATGCAGGTGTACCTGGAGGTAGCCTACTCTCCTCCCTGCTGTGCGCTGCTCTGTGTCCTCTGTCCGCACGGGAGGGGGAGGAGAGTGCTGTGAGCCTGTCACATCCCGCTCAGCCTCCTGTAACAGATCAGGAGAGCGGTGTGTGGGCGGAGAAAGCTGTCGGCTGTCACAGGAGGCTGAGGCAGTGGTGACGGGGAGGAGTCCGAGCTCTCCTCCCCGCACCGCCCGCTCAGCCTCCTGTGAGAGTCGATCCAGGATGGAGAACAGTATACAAACATTCAGCGATCAGTGATAACTAAATGTTTGAAATAACTGGACATAGTATGAGGTACCAGTTATGAATTAATAGGAAGTGATCTATATCACTTCCTATTCATTCATGATTGTGTACATTGTAACTCACACTATATCCACAATTTATGAATGAAAAGCAACACTCAGTACAGTATAGAGGATTCCTGTTCATTCAGTGCTGGGGCTGCAGAAAAAGAGATTGAGGACTCTATCTGTTTTTCTATTGTATATGGGAAATATCTGGAGTCTGTTTAGATCCCTGATATTTCACCAAAGCCCCCAGCAGTAAAGTTAAAAAATAAAAATATTTAATAAAAATGACATAAAATATTTTAAAAAATGAAAACGTTTAGAAAAAAATAAAATAAAAACAAAATATTAAAAAAAATTAAAAAAAAAGGTTAGAACATAATATTTTTTGATTTTCGGTTTCAAAATTTCATTTTGGTGCGCCTCTAGTATTTTTCTATTTCTATCCCACTCTCTAGATCACATGTTAAATATGTTTTCTTTATGGTATACTTTACTATTACATTCTGTTGATAAAACCAATTCTCTTAAAAAGCGAGAGATTCTTGGAACCCCAGTAAGGCTAAGGCATTTTATTTTAATATAAGGGGAAATATTTCTGTTAATTTGATGTTTAATGTTAAACATGTTTTACTATTTATATAAAATCTATATTTTATTTTAGCTATTTAGCGATCACTAGCCTGCTAAATCTGTGAAAGGGAGCTACATCTGCTGGCTGCAATATTTCATATTTACTTGACTAAAAAAATGAAATGTTCTTTTTAGGGATGTCACGATACCAATACTTTTTTCGGTATCGGGGCCGATGCATGGCATTTTCATGAGTACTTGTACTTGTGAAAACACCCCAATACTAAAGGCTGATATGCAGCCCTGGTGAGACCCGCACGCAGCCCTGTTGAGATCTGCACGCAGCACTGTTGAGACCCCAACGCAGCGCTGATAAGACCTGTACGCAGCCCTGATGAGTTCTTCACGCAGCCCTGGTGAGACCCAAACCTAGCCCTGATGAGACCTAAACACAGCCCTGTTGAGACCCAAACGCAACCCTGGTGGGACCCAAACGCAACCCTGGTGAGACCCAAACGCAACCCCGGTGAGACCTCACACAGCCCTGTATAATTGCTGTATAATCGTGGATTGATGGGCTCTGTACTCCTCCATTGCTGAATAATCATGGTTTGCTGTGATTTGTAGTCCTCTATAGCTAGTTGCCATTCTCCATTGCTATATAATCATGGATTGATGGGATCTGTAGTCCTATACTGCTGGTTGCCATTCTCCATTGCTGAATAATCATGGATTGAGTTACCGTAATTCATAATTATAAAGAAACTGCCCTAAAAATCATTAGTCTTCCCTGAGCAATTTCAAAGTTAATATGCATAAGACAGAAGCCCTCAATGTTTCCTTGCCCCAGCACATACAAATGTCCCTGAACCAGTCTTTCCCCTTCGCGTGGTCCGGTCACAGTTTAAAATATCTGGGGGTCATGCTTTCCCCTCATATGGGGCAGCTATATGAGTTGAATTATACACCTTTGCTCACTTCTATCCAACACAAACTTAAGGAGTGGTCCCGACTAAGCCACTCTTGGTTTGGTCGGTTGGCCCTATTTAAAATGGACATTTTGCCCAGACTCCTTTACGTGTTCCAAACGGTCCCAATTGCAGTGCCGAGCACATTTTTTCGTATCCTACGTTCTTCACTTTTACGATTTATCTGGTCTAATTCCTCGGCTCGTCTCAGATACACGGTTCAGGTACGGCGGAAACAACACGGGGGGTGGGCTTACCTCACATTGAATTGTGTTATAAAGCTGCACCACTATTTACTAGACTACTTGACTCGATATTCCATTCGCAACACAAACTATGGGTGCAACTATAATCATAAATATAGCCTCTCTCCCCCGCGTCTCTGCCGTGGATTGATCCATCATTCCGTCCAATATTGGGGACTCTCCCCTGCTGCTTGCCCCCGCTACTTAGAGTATGGGATTCTCTCCTTAAACAGGACTCCTTTTCCTCTCGCCCAGGGCCTCTGACACCTATTATGGGCAACCCAGAGTTCCCCCCTGCTAGACATAGTGTGCAGTTCCTTGGTTGGCACAGTACCGGCTTTGCCCCTCTCTCCTCGGCTCACACGATAGGGGGCTTACGCACTCTTTCCTTGATACTGGACGTGTCCACTCCGTGAATATTTCCAACTCAGGAACTTCTACACCATTCTTGCTAGACGCGGTGATTTACACAGGGAACTGTACCCCTTTGAGTGTCTGTGTGTGGACACTGAGCCCCCGAGATGGGCCATCTCGACTATCTATGATCTCTTGTTACAACTCTTATTCTCGGATGTCCCCAGATATTTCTCAGAATGGGCAACGGACCTTTCATGTACCTTTTCTTCCTCAGACATTAGCAGATCACTTGCTTAACACAATAGCTAGTAAAATCCAGGAACGCAATTTTAAAATCCTGTCCAGATGGTATTATTGCCCGACCCGACTTCGAGTCTTCTACCCTCAGGCCTCTGACCTGTGCTGAAGATGCTCTTTGCATCCTGGCTCCATGTTACATATATGGAGGAGCTGTGCTGGAGTTACCACGTTCTGGTCTTCCATCTTCTCCACTTATGAGAAACTTACGGGCACAAGGGTGGAGGGTTCACCACAGCTGGCCCTTCTTTCCATGTTTCAGGGCTCCTACAAGTCAGTAAAAAAAAGGCTTGCTCAGATTTTTGTGCTGGCGGCTAGAGCGGTAATACCGAGGCATTGGAAATCCTCTCTGAATCCCACCTTGAAGGAATGGAATTGAGAGATGCAATCACTTTGTAGGACTGAAGAACTTACGGCCAATCTCTATGATCGCTACTCCCAATTCTACGAGGTGTGGAGTGTTTGCATACACTTTTGTACCACAGATGCCTTTCGTGAGCTACTTACACTGGCTCTCCCTCGAGGGGATGGCTCGGGTACTTAGATGGATTGGTGGGAATATGGACATGCCCCTTCCTGTTTTAGTACATACAATGTCTCTTTCTACTCTGGCCAACTCCTTGCCCCTCTTTTTCTACTTGACTAAGTTTCCCAATTTTTTTTTAAAGTTACACATAAAAAAGAATAAAAAAACAATTTTTTTTGTAAAGTCCCCGCCCATATGGTAGTTTTTTGCGATTTCGCGGGTGCGCGCAATTTTTAAGCTTGACATGTTTGGTGTCTATTTACCCGATGTGACCCTATATTTTACCAAAAAATTGGTTAATAATAATTGTTTCCTAACATAATGGGGGAAAAAACTATTTTTTCTAAATTTTCAGTCATTTTTCCTTAATACAGTAAAAAATAAAAACCTCAGTGGTGATTAAATACCACCAAAAGAAAGCTCTATCTGTCCCTAAAAATTGTATAAAATTAATTTCAGTACAGCGTTGCATGACGGAATAAATGTCAGTCAAACTACCGCAGCGCTGAATACTGAAAAATGGCCTGGCCGGAAGGGGGTTTAACACCTGATCTTCAAGCGATTAAACTTCTCTTTTACTGTTTTGTTAAACTTTGTTCTCTTTCACTTTTTTGTTGATAAAAAAAAAAGACAGTATTACATTTGAGCTAAATACACGATCAAAATATATTTGACCTTTTTTGTACCTAAAAAAATATTTGTAATTCTGTTTGCACACATCTGACAAAAAAGTATAACCAGGAGAGTGACACCACTTTTTACCATTATAACCCCCCAGCTTCCTGTGTCACCTCTGTTTATATGAATAAATCCTCACCATCTAGTTTCCAGTACTTGAAAATTAGTTACTTGGTTCACAATGTGTTCCCATTCTAATGGTTTCTAATTGCATTGGTTGTGCTAATTGACTGTTTTTGACCCTTCCCGGCATTTGGATGCACTAATTATTACGGCAGGATTTTACAAACTAAGACATTCACTAAAATCTCAGGTAAGCCTTAACGTGTTAATGTCATTTCGAAAAGTTGTTCTGAATCTTTTTAAATCTGCCTGTTGATATCTGCCACGAAGATCCTTTTTCAGGCACTTTCTGTTTTGAGACGGCAACACAAGCACCCTGATGAAAACTACAAACAGACGTGCTGACACATTGAGCAGGCATACAGTTAAAATTAAATTCATCCAACAAAAGTATGCCCTTCTACACTTATGCATATGTTAAAGCCACACTCTGGGCAGAATTATAATTTACACACTGCACTGGGTGTATAAATTATCATGGAAAAGCTGTGTGTTATGTGCAGAGGATGCCTGCAAAGTATAAAATCTTACCTTGCATTAAGACGTCCTCCACACAGAATGCCCAGCTCCGGGTGCCAGTAATGTAGTAGAAAGTTCAAATTTTTCAAATGAAACTAGAAGTTGTAGACCCATATTGTACTACGTTATATATTTACTACTTAACCCATTCCCAGCCACAATTTGTAGATCAACATTGCCAGGGTTTCAATGACAGCTAGGAGTGCACAGCTGTCAACCTCTAACACTAATGCTCAAATAAATAAATGCATGCTGATATTGCTAAAATTGGTCTGGGCATTCATGCTTCCATGACCACTGGCAATGAAAGAGCTAAAGAAAGTAAAAACATCTCTTAATGATTACTAAACTGAGTTTTTTTCTCTTATTCCATAGAAGCAGGATGGACTATTGTTCAAAGACGTATTGATGGTTCTGTTGATTTTGACCAGCTCTGGGAATCATACAAGAATGGATTTGGTAATCAAAGTGGTTAGTGCTAAATTTTTATTTATTTGTCATATTTGAAAAATGTCTTAAAAAACTGACTATTTTTTATCATCATGGGGTTTGTGAATTCTAGCCATGTTTGTTTTTACTTTTTTAAGGAAACTTTGTAGGGCCTGAAGATCCAGTTTCCTACCTAGAAAATGCTCTATGAGCAGAGCTACATTTAGCTTGGTTTATGCTTTGAAGAAGGCATAGATAGTTACATAAACACAACTTCTTTTAACTACTATACTCAGATAGAGATATAGTCAAGGCTGGACTGTGATAAAAAAATATAGGTGGGGGCATTTTAGACTGAGCCCAATCACATGCCCCGTACTGTCACAATTCAGGGGTGAAGCCAAACACAGCAATGCTTAGCATCGGGTTCCCCGGCAACAAGCTCTCCTCCATTCCGGCTCGGCCACATCTTAGAGCGCGGCCTTTGTTCCCAGCAGAAGAGTGCAGCATGGGAAGCAGGGCCGTACCCACTGGGACAGTTTACCACCTGCTAAGGTGCCAGGATAACCTGCATGTGTTGACTAGACTAGATTGCCCAGCACATAGGGGGTGCGAAGTGTCGGGACACAGGATGGCGGTGAGCTGGCAGCCTTTCACCCTGCTCGCAGGTGTTGTGGTCATGGTGGGCTGCATGTGGGGAGCTGAGGGATAGGGTGACCCATGACACACCCAGCTTGGGTTGGCTCATCATGCAAGTACCTAGTATGCTCAATGGCCAGTCCGGGCCTGGATATAGTACTTACATTAGTTAACCAAACTCACAGTGTTTCCAAGGTCTCCATATTAAAGTAGTGTTAAACACTCAATGTTCATTTTTTTTCAACACTGAACCCAGATCAAACAAATATGCATTGCCCCGCAAAGTATTTCTTTACATTTTTGCCCAAACACTGATAGTCATTATGTTTCTGGACAGCTGGCTCCAACTCTCTCAGCTTGGCTTCTCTTAACTTTCTGTCCAGTACAAGATCACAAAGGACAGCACAGTCTCCAGCAGCTGTCCAAATTTAGAGAAGCGATAGGGAAGGAAGGAGGAGTGGGGAGCAGCCCCTCAGAGATTCAGTCTATATCCTATAAGAATGCCACTGTTAACTTCTTCCTCATAAATCCTTACTTCACTCTCCAGTACAGTTGTTCTATGTCTCCTTTTATTTTCCCTTCTTTCATGAGAGTCTGCAATCTTATGGTTCTGAGAAGCAAGTTCATTGGCTTTTTCATATCTGTATTTTTATAACTTATGTATCCGAGTTATTTTAACTTGTATACAGTTATCTGCTAATAATATATATATTTTTTTAGCAAAACCAAAGTTTTTTGAACATGATGAGAAGTGTGAGAAGCTTTTAGCCTCAATTCAGAACTTGATGGTTCAATCACTTCACTGGTAATTCTAGACCAGCAACATATTAGAGATTTTGATATTAACCCCTTCGTGACGGGAGACGTACAGTGTACGTCCCGTCACAAAGTGGCTATATGACTGGCCACGTACACTGTACGTGCCGAGTTATATTAGCCTCTGTAATGCTGGTAACTGCTGATTCTCAGCAGTTCCAGTCATTAATTAATGCCTCACTATTGAGACATTCATTAATGAAATAGTTAAGCTTTTTTAAAAGCTTCTTTCTTTCATTAATGAAAGAATGAAGCCTTTACATTCAGATACGGGTTCGCTAAATAGCGATCCCGTATCTGACAGCTGAAGATAGCAGAGAGGTAGCAGTGACTCACCTCTCTGCTATTCGTTTTGACAGCTGGAGAGCCTGGCCCGATGTTAAATGATACATTTCAACCACTAGATACAAAATGTATCTCGAGTGAAATGTATCACTTCTGTATCACTTCTGATCGTCTAGGAACGATCAAAGACCTTTAGTGAGATCTGATTCTGACATGCTGTCAGGATCAGTCTCTAAAGTTATTATTAGCTGTTCCTAAGCTTGGAGCAGCCTGATAATAACTAAAAATTTTAAAAAGTTAATTTATTAAGCAGTCATAGTGATTGCTTGATATAAACTGACAAAAAAAAAATATTTTTTTTTTACACTTATTTTTTTTACAAAGTGTAAAAAAAAAAAAAAAAGTGTACAAAAAATTAGGAAAATAAAACGTTTATATATAAATATATTTGTATACTATAATTATTATTAAAAAAATTCTAAAAATAATAATAATAATCAAAACTTGCTGCTGTGGAAGAATCACACAGCAAAAATGTAAAAAGTGTGTCAGTCATTTAGGAACAGAAACTAAAAACTAGCTCAGTCATGAAGGGGTTAACACTACAATGATTTAAAAACCTCTATAACATCTGTATAGCTGTACACTCTCCAAATCATATCCAGAATTAGTTGAATAGTTGAATCAAATAAACCTGCTGCCCTTTGTCATGAATAACTTAATTTTTTTGGACATTCTTTTCTTAGAGGGGAAGATCTGTGTAATCACAAACTCTTTTTCTTCTGGCAAGTCCCAAGGCATGGATGACTTATCAACTGTCCCTGGTAATCATAAAGATTGTTGCAGATACTCTGTAGAAATCTGTCTCACAGTAGTGGGACAAATGGTAGAACTTGCAACACATTCATGTTTGTGTCAGAGCGGATATCGACCCCCTTGTGGATAGAATTACGGGGACACTCTCCAAACAAATAGAGGGAGTTCATCAACAGGTTCTGGCTCTGGAACCATGGCTGGGGTGAAGTTGAGACTGTTGCTTCAGCATCAGCCCTGTGGATCTCAGCCCTGGAGTTAGCTGTGTCTCTTCAACGTCAACTGATGACCCAGCTGCAATTGAAGGTGGACGATGGCAAGAACAAGAGTCGCCGCAATAATATTAGGATCAATGGGGGCTCCCTGAGTCCACTGGTGGCCCTAATCTTCGTGATACTGTGCTGGCTTTGCTTAACTCCCTTTTTGACAGACCTGCTGCAGAACCTATTAAAATCAATAGCGTACACAGAGTGGCGAGTGCACGGAAGCGTGACAGCCAGTTTTCTAGAAACGTATTGTGAAAAATTAATTTTTATTTTGCCAAAGAAGAGCTGCTTAAGAAGGCCTGGATTAATAAATCAGTTGATTTTGATGGAGCCTCAGTCTCCTTCCTGCCTGATGTCTCACGCCGCACTCTCCTGATGAGACACACCTTTCGTCCTCTCCTTCAGCGACCTACAGGAGCTGGGTGCCTCATACCGTTGGGGGTCACCCCTTCCAGTTATTGATCAAAAAAGATGGCCATCAGTTTACTTTATTCAACCGTGAGCAACTTCCAGCGCTGTTCTCGTTCTTGGACACCCCAGGAGCTTGATGTCCCAGATTGGCTGGATCCCTCACAGACTTGCCTGTGGCTGTTCGTCCTCCTCCCAGGGAACAGCGATGATTAAGCAAATCTCGTCCCGCGACTGCGGGCACTGGCCGTCGGGGGGGCTCACCTACCTGTCAGGGAAGATTGACTTTGACCTGCTTCGCCCTCTCTTCCTCAGTTTTCTGGAGTGTGCCATGGTTGTGAGTACTCTCTTCCCCCCAGCTACCATGTGCTGACACCCAGAGAAACTCTGCCTTGCTTCATTGCAATGTGCTCTTGTCTCCTGACCTATCTGTGCTACTTGCATGACCTTGACACCCTCTTGTTTTTTCCTTACCCTCTTTCCCTCTTCCTGGTTCTTCCCTGTCCCCATTCCTTTTGTTTTTACCCATTTGTAGTCCTGTCTCCCTATGTTGTTGTGTTTACCCCCGTCTTGTGCCTTTTGCACTGTGCCATTTGAGTAGTTAGTGCATGCTGACGGACACCCTTTGCCTTGGACATGGAGTGTCCCACAGCTCTATCCAGAATATCTGGAAAGTCATTTGTCTCCCTTTTGCTGTGGGAGATGGGTCTCTCCTTATTGAACATCGGTTTGGACATTTTGTTCTATGATTGTTGCCTGTTTTTTTTTTTTTATTATTATTATCATTTACCGATTAAGGTCTATTGTTATAGTTGCACTGATGTGTATTTTTATCATTGGGGAAGTGTAGTTTTTTAACTTTTGACAAGCGCTGTGTTTGTCCATGCTATAATGCTGGGTAGAAGTGTCTTGTTAATATAACCTTTTCTCATTGACAAGTTTATTTTTCTATTGTCCTGGGGAATGTTATGGGAAGGGTCTGTTCCTAATTTATTTTATCTTCATGGTTCTGGTTTTGGGGATGTTCTTATTTTGGGGGTGAGCTGTTGTGTTGTGGGGGGGCTTCCCTGGCAATGGGGGCTGCAGTCCTCACAGTGTCATATGGCCACTGCGGATGTCGCATTTTTCTCCCTTTTTTTTGTACCTGTGATCTTGTTGGACTGGCAGCGCCGGGCATTAGGGGGCCCTCCCACTACTCTTTATTTAACTGGTAAGGTTCTGGGGCATTTTTTTCACTTTTCAGTTTGTGCCCAGGTTTTCTAAAATAAAAGGGGAACAACAAAGGAGGTTATGGCCCTGAGAGGTCCTCGTTTGGTTAATGTTTTTCTGTATTAGCTAGGTTTTCCTTTTTTAGTGGGCCATGGGGATGGGAATCCCTTGTAAGTATTCCACCTGGATCTATCATAGATGTCCTCGTCACCTGGGCCCACTGGGTCTTGTTGACCACCCCATTGACCCTTCTGCCCTCTTCCTCCTTTACTGCTACCTGCCTCCTTTGGTGCCCACCAGTTGAAGGTATCTGACCCGGGGCTCGGGGCTCTCTTCCCCCCATGGTCTTGAATCTGTTCCTCACGTAGGGTTCTTCTTTGCCTAACAGGGTGGGAGAGTGTAATTGTTCATTTAGCATTGTCTGTGAAGGTTCTCATTCATCCAGGTCATTTTTCTTGAAGACATTTCACTGGTCATCCAACCAGCTTTCTCAATTCAGAATGACTTGTACAAAACATTATCTGGGAATAAATATGGTAAATGTTGCTCCAATCCACATAGTCGCAACCAGGTGTTGATTGCATTTGCATAATTGGAGTCTAGGAG